CGGGCCTCTCACTGTTGTGGCCTCTCCTGTTGCGGAGCACAGGCTCCGGACGTGCAGGCTCAGCGGCCATGGCTCATGGGCCCAGCTGTTCCGCAGCATGTGGGATCTTCCCGGACTGGGGCACGAACCCGTGTCCCCTGACTCGGCAGGCAGACTCTCAACCACTGCGCCACCAGGGAAGCCCCGAAGAATGGTATTTTTTGCAGGGTCCTGGGGGTGTGTCTAACTCAATAGTTTTGAACTATTGGTCATAACAGACAAGGCTGGATTGAGGCTATTGCATCTTCCCACCTAGACACCTCTGTGTTTCACTGGAATTGGAACTTTTCCCTGGGAACGTGGACACGGAGGGCATTTTGTGAAAAAAACAATAGAATCACATACCTTTCTCTAGTTGCTTTCTGGTTTCTAGTTCCCTCTTTTCCTTGATGCTCCTAAATCACCCCATACACGCACACGCACGTGCACGCGCACGTGTACACACATACTCCCCATCCTGGCCCTCATTTTGCCAAAGGCTGCAAAATGTGCGTTCTGTGTTCCCTGAAATTAGAATTCAGAAATGCAAAAACATTTAGGTGTTCACTAAACATCTTAAATTTTTTTTAATTTAAAAGCTAGTTAAGCAAATAATAAAAGATAGTCAAGGCTGGTATTGTAACTAACAGATGGGAAACTAAGACCCAGAGGGACCCCGTGGCCTGGTACGTCATTTTCCATTTAAAGAACCCCAGCGTCCTCAAAGCTCTAAGATAAGCCCTGTGTTCACACCGTTTATGTTCCTCACACATGCAGGTTCATGGTCGATGCATCTGTCAGCGCAGTACAGATGGCCCGAACTGTGAGAGGTGCAAGGACTTCTTCCAGGACGTTCCCTGGAGGCTAGCCGTGGGCCCCCTGGACAGCACATGCCGAGGTGGGTGGACCTCCACTCTCAGCATACACCGAGTTTCCTTATATGAGCTCCTTACACGATCTCTGCTTTTCCTTCTTTTGGAGAACATTTAGTTTGTGTCTGTGGAGCTGCAGGCAGCACAGTTGGTGAACCCCTGTGGCTTACAGCTCCAAATGTGTAATAGCCTCATGTCTCCCAGTATCTCACATAGAAGAATCACCAGCTTCTCAAACCTTCACACCAAAAATTCACATTAATTTGAAGAACGAGACAATATGCATGTTGTGTGGCCCCTTTGCAGAGGGGGGGCATAGCCATGAAATGGTAATATCTGTGAGGACGGTGCCACTCCAGGAATGTGGTGACCCCTAGAATGGGTACAAAGATCCCCACTGTTTTCCTGAATTATCACACACTCAGTGAAGGTGACCTTGAACCGTATGTCAGGTAAGATGAGAAATGAGGTCCAGAATGGAGTTGGACAGGCTATTGTATTTTTTATAAAATATTGAGGCTAAGATAGGAGGGCGTTTTGTCATGTGTTTGCTACCTCCGAATTTTGATGAACTTCCAAATAAATCTGTTATCCAGTTTCTTTTCCCAAATATGGGGAAAACAGGATTCGAAGGAGAGGTTGTCAGATGAGCTTTTATGGAAAAGCCCCATCCGTGAGTGTCACAGTGGATAAGACCCAGCAAAACGTAGTCAGAGATGATGCTCTTTACAGGGAAAAACCCAACGGGATGAACAGCATAGACATTACCACAAAGACGCACAAATCCCTCTAAACAGACTGCCTTTCCTTCCGACACTCTGGCAGAGCCCCTGATGGGAGGAAAACAGCCTGCAGCTCCCCTTCCATCAATTCTGCCTTAGAGAAGCAGAGGCTGGCTGGGCCCAGCTCTAGCATCCGATCTGGAGAATCCAGTAGTACCATACTGCAGAGTATATGATGTAAAAAATTCCGATTTACAAAGCCCGAGTCAGTAAAAGTATTCTTTACGGAAGGACAACAAAAATACTGCATGCTAGGGCTTCTAGGTCACCCAAATGAGTTAGATTTGTTCGCTTGATTTAAAAAAAAAACAACTAACTATTAAACATTTCGGGAACACATTTTACAGAGAGTGTATGAGCAGAATCGGAGTACTAGAAAGATCCTTGAAAGCACCTATTTTAAGCCTTTGTATATTTGGTGAAAGAAGGCGGGGTGGCTGAAGAAAGCGGAGGAGGGGAGAATGGGTGATGGAGCGTGGAGCCACCATCCTGAGGATGCTCATCCCTGAGACCTTGGCGAATCTCTCGTAACTCCACTCGGTTCTCAGCTTGTCGCTGTAACGGACACTCTGACCGCTGTCACTTCGACAAGACCGTGTACCTGGCGAGCGGGAGTCGCAGAGGGTACGTGTGTGACGGCTGCCGGCACAACACCGAGGGCCAGCACTGTGATCGCTTCAGACCCCTTTTCTACAGGGACCCCCTCAAGGCCATCTCGGATCCGTACGCGTGCATTCGTGAGTCCCCAGCCTCTGACCCATCCTCTCCCCTCATCTGAGCAGACACTGATGAAGTTGGTGTCCCTGGGGCCGTCAGCCCACCCTGGGTTCAGCGGAGTCTCCTAACTGCCCTCTTGGGGGTGGGAACTGCAAAATCGCTTCGGCTCTGAGAGCTTTTCTCTCTCTGAACAAGTTGCGCCAGGTAATCCAGGTCCGTCCTGGTGGTCTTGCGGCCGGGGCTTATACTGATGATTCGGGAAACTGTTCTGAATTCAACCAGGATGGGGCGATGGTTTCAGAAGAGGCCACATGTACCTGCAGTGTCAGCTCAAGGAAGTAACTAGAGAAACTGGCTACAGCATTTGGCTGTAGATGATTCAAATTTGCTAAGCTATTACCTCGTTTCATTTTTCTTTTTTCAACCTTTAAAAATCTTTCCTTTTATCTTTAATGTCAACTTTTTCAAAGGGAATATTTCACTCATAGACAAAACAATACAGAAATATATATATATATATATATATATATATATAAAATAGAGCCACCACTAGCTTTGTGAAAATGTAATATCTTACCCTCTCACCTTCAGGCCATTACTAGAACACTACAGCATTGTGGATGGGATGTCCCAGCTGCACACCTGTCCCCTTTGTCTACCCTCCTTCCTAGGGATAAACTCTCATATATTTGGCAATCATCATTACCATGCTTGTTTTTAGGCTTTCACATGTCTTCATCCACAAACAATACATGTTGACATGTTTTCAAACTTGAGATAGATGATATGCTGTATGTACCCTTGAGTATTTCATTCAACATTGTATTTTTGAGATTTGTCCATATCATGTAGCCCCTAGTTCTCCCATTTTAATTTCTATATAGAATTCTTCCTTCCTATATATGTAACAAAATCTATTTGTCCATTTTTCTTTCGATGCTTCAGTAAACATTCTTGTACATGCGGCCTTGTGCACATGCACAGAGACTGTCCCTAAGAGTCATACCTAGGAGTGGAATGACTGGGCCATAGACTGTTAACCTTTCCAAGTTGATTAGATAATAGTAAACTGTCCCTTAAGTTGGTATAACAATTAACAGCCACACCAACAGTGTATGAGAGTTCCTGTTACTCTGCTTCCTGGCCAACACTGGCTTTTGTCACACTTTAACTCTTGGTAATGTGGGTTTTGTCACACTTAATTTTTTTTTTAACATCTTTATTGGAGTATACTTGCTTTACAATGGTGTGTTAGTTTCTGCTTTATGACAAGGTGAATCAGTTATACATATACATACGTTCCCATATCTCTTCCCTCTTGCATCTCCCTCCCTCTCACCCTCGCTATCCCGCCCCTCTAGGTGGTCACAAAGCACCAGGCTGATCTCCCTGTGCTATGCAGCTGCTTCCCACTAGCTATCTGTTTTATCTTTGGTAGTGTATACATGTTCATGCCACTCTCTCACTTTGTCACAGCTTACCCTTCCCCCTCCCAATATCCTCAAGTCCATTCTCTAGTACGTCTGTGTCTTTATTCCTGTCTTGCCCCTAGGTTTTTCATGACCTTTTTTTTTTTCTTAGATTCCATATATATGTGTTAGCATACGGTATTTGTTTTTCTCTTCCTGACTTAGTTCACTCTGTATGACAGACTCTGAGTCCATCCACCTCACTACAAATAACTCAATTTCGTTTCTTTTTATGGCTGAGTAATATTCCATTGTATATATGTGCCACATCTTCTTTATCCATTCATCCGTTGATGGACACTTAGGTTGCTTCCATGTCCTGGCTATTGTAAATAGTGCTGCAATGAACATTTTGGTACATGACTCTTTTTGAATTATGGTTTTCTCAGGGTATATGCCCAGTAGTGGGATTGCTGGGTCGTATGGTAGTTCTATTTTTATTTTATTTTATTTTATTTTTGCAGAAAGCAGGCCTCTCACTGCTGTGGCCTCTACCGTTGCGGAGCACAGGCTCCGGACGCGCAGGCCCAGCAGCCGTGGCCCTCGGGCCCAGCCGCTCCACGGCATGCGGGATCTTCCTGGACCGGGGCACGAACCCGTGTCCCCTGCATCTGCAGGCGGACTCTTAACCACTGCGCCACCAGGGAAGCCCAGTAGTTCTATTTTTAGTTTTTTAAGGAACCTCCATACTGTTCCCCATAGTGGCTGTATCAATTTACACTCTCACCGACAGTGCAAGAGGGTTCCCTTTTCTCCACACCCTCTCCAGCATGTGTTGTTTGTAGATTTTTTGATGATGGCCATTCTGACCGGTGTGAGATGATAGCTCATTGTTTTGATTTGCATTTCTCTAATGATTGATGATGTTGAGCATTCTTTCATGTGTTGGCAATCTGTATATCTTCTTTGGAGAAATGTCTATTTAGGTCTTCTGCCCATTTTTGTATTGGGTTGTTTGTTTTTTGATATTGAGCTGAATGAGCTGCTTGTAAATTTTGGAGATTAATCCTTTGTCAGTTGCTTCATTTGCAAATATTTTCTCCCATTCTGAGGGTTGCCTTTTCGTATTGTTTATGGTTTCCTTTGCTGTGCAAAAGCTTTTAAGTTTCATTAGGTCCCATTTGTTTATTTTTGTTTTTATTTCTATTTCTCTAGGAGGTGGGTCAAAAAGGATCTTGCTGTTGATTTATGTCAGAGTGTTCTGCCTATGTTTTCCCCTAAGAGTTTGATAGTGTCTGGCCTTACATTTAGGTCTTTAATCCATTTTGAGTTTATTTTTGAGTATGGTGTTAGGGAGTGTTCTAATTTCATACTTTGACATGTAACTGTCCAGTTTTCCCAGCACCACTTATTGAAGAGGCCATCTTTTCTCCACTGTATATTCTTGCCTCCTTTATCAAAGATAAGGTGACCATATGTGCGTGGGGTTATCTCTGGGCTTACTATCCTGTTACATTGATCTATATTTCTGCTTTTGTGCCCGTACCATGCTGTCTTGATTACTGTAGCTTTGTAGTATAGTGTGACGTCAGGGAGCCTGATTCCTCCAGCTCCATTTTTCTTTCTCGAGATTGCTTTGGCTACTCGGGGTCTTTTGTGTTTCCATACAAATTGTGAAATTTTTTTTCTTGTTCTGTGGAAAATGCCACTGGTAGTTTGATAGGCATTGCATTGAATCTGTAGATTGCTTTGGGTAGTAGAGTCATTTTCACAATGTTGATTCTTCCAATCCAAGAACATGGTATATCTCTCCATCTATTTGTATCATCTTTAATTTCTTTCATCGTTGTCTTATAATTTTCTGCATAAAGGTCTTTTGTCTCCTTAAGTAGGTTTATTCCTAGATATTTTATTCCTTTTGTTGCAGTGGTAAATGGGAGTGTTTTCTTAATTTCACTTTCAGATTTTTCATCATTAGTGTATAGGAATGCTAGAGATTTCTGTGCATAAATTTTGTATCCTGCTACATTACCAAATTCATTGATTAGCTCTAGTAGTCTTCTGGTAGCATCTTTAGGATTCTCTATGTATAGTATCATGTCATCTGCAAAGTGACAGGTTTACTTCTTCTTTTCCAATTTGGATTGCTTTTATTTCCTTTTCTTCTCTGATTGCTGTGGCTAAAACTTCCAAAACTATGTTGAATAATAGTGGTGAGAGTGGGCAACCTTGTCTTGTTCCTGATCTTAGTGGAAATGCTTTCAGTTTTTCACCATTGAGGATGATGTTGGCTGTGGGTTTGTCATATATGGCCTTTATTATGTTGAGAAAAGTTCCCTCTATGCCTACTTTCTGGAGGTTTTTTATCATAAATGGGTGTTGAATTTTCTCAAAAGCTTTCTCTGCATCTATTGGGATGATCATATGGTTTTTTTCCTTCAGTTTGTTAATATGATGTATCACACTGATTGATTTGTGTATAATGAAGAATCCTTGCATACCTGGAATAAACCACACTTGATCATGGTGTATAATCCATTTCATGTGCTGTTGGATTCTGTTTGCTAGTATTTTGTTGAGGATTTTTGCATCTATGTTCATCAGTGTTATTGGCCTGTAGTTTTCTTTCTCACTGACATCTTTCTCTTGTTTTGGTATCAGGGTGATGGTGGCCTCATAGAATGAGTTTGGGAGTGTCCCTCCCTCTGGTATATTTTGGAAGCGTTTGAGAAGAATAGGTGTTAGCTCTTCTCTAAATGTTTGATAGAATTTGCCTGTGAAGACATCTGGTCCTGGGCTTTGTTGCAAGATTTTAAATCACAGTTTCATTTCAGTGCTTGTGATTGGTCTGTTCATATTTTCTATTCCTTCCTGGTTCAGACTCAGAAGGTTGTGCATTTCTAAGAATTTCTCCATTTCTTCCAGGTTGTCCATTTTGTTGGCATAGAGTTGCTTGTAGTAATCTCTCATGATCCTTTGTATTTCTGCAGTGTCAGTTGTTACTTCTCCTTTCTCATTTCTAATTCTATTGATTTGAGTCTTCTCCCTTTTTTTCTTGATGAGTCTGGCTAATGGTTTGTCAATTTTGTTTATCTTCTCAAAGAACCAGCTTTTACTTTTATTGATCTTTGCTATCGTTTCCTTCATTTCTTTTTCATTTATTTCTGATCTGATTTTTATGATTTCTTTCCTTCTGCTAACTGTGAGGTTTTTTTGTTCTTCTTTCCCTCATTGCTTTAGGTGTAAGGTTAGGTTGTTTGAGATGTTTCTTGTTTCTTAAGGTAGGATTGTATTGCTATGAGCTTCGCTCTTAGAACTGCTTTTGCTGCATCCCATAGGTTTTGGGTCGTCGTGTTTTCATTGTCATTTGTTTCTAGGTATTTTCTGATTTCCTGTTTGACTTCTTCAGTGATCTCTTGGTTATTTAGTAGTGTATTGTTTAGCCTCCATGTGTTTGTATTTTTTCAGATATTTTCCTGTAATTGATATCTAGTCTCATAGTGTTGTGGTCAGAAAAGATACTTGATACAATTTCAGTTTTCTTAAATTTACCAAGGCTTGATTTGTGACCCAAGATATGATCTATCCTGGAGAATGTTCCATGAGCACTT